TTTATTTTCCGATGTTGACGAAGTGTTAAGGTGTGTGTCGTCTGTCGTATGGGATACTACAAGTGTACGAGCCGTATCGTTCGATTGTACCGAAGGAAAGTCGACGTAGATAGGGTTTCGTACGCTGATTCAAGAGGTCGCTGATGTAAGTCTCGACGAACAAAGACGTGTGTACTAAGTCGTAAGTCAGGTTGAACGAAAACATCAGTTGATTGAGGTCGAGTGTGAGCAGGTTTAACTGAACGCATAGCGTTTGTAAGCCTACTCGTGTAAGAGTTTAGATCCATGTTCAATGAAGAAGACGAAGGATCCACGAATTCTCCTGGGAGTCGGAGTGTCGTTCCATAAACGAGTTGAGATGCAGTGTATCCAATGTCAGCTTTCACTGCATTACGGATACCTAGCAAGACGAGTGGAAGAGCGTCTGTGTACTGTGAAACGTTTGTAGCTGATAATGAAGCTTTATGTTGTCGATGAAAACGTCCTGCCAACCCGTTTGCTTGTGGGTGGTAGGCGGTCGTTCAGAAGCGAGTGATTCCTAATAGTGAGGTCAGACAACAGAAAAGTCCTGATTCGAACTGGCGTCCGCGGTCTGTAGTGATTGTGGAAGGGCAACCGAAATTTGCTACCCATCGTTCGACGAAAGCGCGAGCCACTGTTTCAGCAGTAATGTCTGTTATGTAGTAGCGAAGACATAAGTACGGGTAACTTGCAGGACCTACTTTTGGACTATCATTCTTATTGTATAACTATTCGGTAACTAGATTATCTATATCTATATTCATCTTATTGTAAGCTTCATTTTGACCTATTGATTATTACTATATGATTTACTGTCCCTATGTTATACTCAGTTTTAGTGATTATTGTCTCCCATGCTTACAGCCTCATTTGGCCTGGTTTTGTACAAATATTATTTTCTATTTTATGGTATGATGTAGCCTGTCTGTCTGATATATAAACAAAGTATGCTTCAAATAAAGGATTCGTATTGCCGAGGCTGCCATTGGTGTTCTGGACTCAAGTGGACGGGTTAGGCGGATAAGGGCCAATAAGGACTCTAGATTACTCATACTAATCGAACGTCATTGTCACAGTGTGAAGATCGTAGAAGTCGTATTCTATTGGTGGACAATTTACGCGAATTACGTCCTTGTTAAATTCGTAAGGTCATAACGAATCAGCGACGACCTTGATCAAGTCATAACAATTGGCTACCGCCTAGGCCAAAAACATAACAAATTGGCGACGGCTAGGTCAAGTCATAACAATGTCCTTAATAGGTATTGCTTGTGGCCATCGAGTAAAATGGTCCACGCATGTTAGGAGATATGATTATCCGTTTTAATCGGGTAACGGTCCTATCAAATCTAGATGAACGTGGTCGAAACGAGCATCAGGGGTTTTGAAAGAGCCTAAGGGACATTTTTCGTCTCTTATGACCTTAGATTTCTGGCAGCTTACACAGGAGCGTGCCCACCCCCTCACATCTTTATTCATGCCAGGCCAGCAAAAACGTTCGGCTATAAGTTCGATTGTTGCACGAGCACCTGGATGAGAAAGATTGTGCAACGCATTGAAGACGTTGCATCGATAATGTTTTGGTACTATTGGACGATCCCTACCTGTAGATGTGTCGCAAAGTAAGGTTTCCCTACCTGTTCCCATCTGCTTAATACTTAGTTTAAGAGTTGTCGAGGATAACTCATGCTGAAGATCAATGTCTTCTTCTTGAAGCTGAGCGAGTTTAAGAAGGTCGATTCCTTGGAAACTGTTTCAGGAACTAATACGAGACAAAGCGTCTGCGACTACATTGTTTGCTCCAGAAATGTGTTGTATATCTGAAGTAAACTGTGATATGTATTCCAATTGTCGAGACTCTCGCGGTGAGTACTTATCTGAAGATGAACTTAAAGAGAAGGTAGGAGGTTTGTGATCGGTAAAAAGCGTGAATTCTCTTCCTTCGATAGAATGCTGGAAATGCCGTACAGCACAATACATAGCTAGGAGTTCCCTACCGAGAGTGCTGTACCTAGATTCCGCGTCTAACAACCATCTCGAGAAAAATCCTAAGGGTTGCCATGAGTTGTTAACCCATTGTTGTAAGACTCCTCCGATTGCTGAGTCGGATGCGTCTACAGCGATACTAATGGGCGCTTGAGTGTCCTGATGAGCAAGCAAGGTTGCTTTAGCGATGTGTTCCTTAACTGTGGAGAATGCTTTACGGTCTTTGTCGTCTAGACTAACTGATTTTGCATTTCCACGAAGCTGGTCGGTTAACGGTTTCATAAGAGATGCGCATTTGGGTATGAACCGTCTGTAGAAACTTACAAGTCCGTTAAAAGTTCGCAGCTGCTTGATCGTGGTCGGTTCTGGGTAATCCAGAATAGCCGCCACTTTGCTTCTAAGGGGTCGGATGCCTTGTGCATCAATAGTGTGTCCTAAGAAGTCTAAGAAGTTTGTTCCGATTTGGCATTTCTGAATGTTTACAGTAATGCCATGCCTTTGGAGTCGATCGAAAACAATGTCCAGATGCTTGAGATGTGATTCTCTGTCCGAACTTGCTATTAGACAGTCATCAACATACACGTGTGCGAAGTTGCGACCACGGAAAACGCCGTCTATAAGTCTTTGGAAGATTTGAGCCGCATTTCTTAGGCTGAAAGACATTCGTAGAAATTCGTAGAGGCCGAAAGGAGTGATGATGGCTGTTTTAGGATCGTCGTCAGGAGCCATCGGTATTTGGTTATAGGTCTTAACTAAGTCGATTTTTTGAAAAGACAGTTGTACCTTTCAAGGTAGCTGTCAGATCGTGAATATGAGGCAACGGGTAACGATCGGGAATTGTATTAGCATTCAGACGCCGATAATCACCAGTTGGTCGCCAATCGTTACTGTCCTTTTTAGGGACCATGTGCAATGGGGATGACCATGGACTATTTGATGGTTGAATTATCCCTAAATCTATCATATGGTCGAATTCGTTTTTGGCTAACCTAAACTTTTCAGGAGCGAGTCGGCGGGATTTCGAAAATACAGGTGGTCCTGTAGTCGAGATGTGATGTGTAACATTCCTGGTTACACAAGGCAATTTCGATTGTGATTGGTATATCCCGGGGTATTTGTCGAGTACTGCTTGGTACAAGGGGTCTATGGCGTGCTTAATCGTGACTGGGGATAACCTGCAACCAGAACAAGGAGTTACGCAAACGGACAACTTAGTGTTTCCGTCTATCAACCTTCGTGAGCGTGTGTCGATGAGTAGATTGTGGTGTTGTAACAGGTCAATACCAATGATTGGCATAGAGACATCTGCAACCACGAAAATCCAGTGTATGGGTTTACGTAAACCCACGTTAAGGTAGACGTACCTTTTACCGTAAGTAGCGATCGGTTTTCCGTTTGCCGCCTGTAAACTTAAAACAGACTCGCGAAGTCTGTCGTCGAGATTTGCTGGAAGAACGCTAACTTCTGCGCCAGTGTCGACGAGGTAGCGAACTTTCGTAGTCACATCCGTGACATATAAGAGGCGGCTGTGTTCGCCGGCTACGGTTGCCGTTAACGCGTGCCGGCTGGGACGTTCCCCGAACTGTTTTTCGTGTCATTCGATTTTGATGTTGGATAATTGCAGGGTTTCCTGCAATTTCTGGAAGACTTACCATACTGGTTATGATACCAGCATCAGTCGGGATTATCTGTCTCTCGTGGTCGAGAGGCAGATCGCTTACGTGAGACACTTCTACGCGGGGTTTTCGACAGACTACGGTCATTTCGAAACCTAAGGTATCGGGTGAGTGTATGACATTATTTGTTAATGTCATTCGGGGTCGTTTTAGGCTTTTCTTTGACTGAAAAGACCTCAGCGCTAGTAGACTTCGTAATTTCTAGAATTCGATCGGCAGATGTGGCTAGTTCGTCTACGCCGTTGTTTGGGAAGGAGACGAGACCTGACTGCACCTGTTTCGAGAGTTTAGATAAGAAAAGCTGTTTAAATAGGCCATCGTCGAAGGTTCTTTGAACTTTCACATCTCTCATCCTTAACAACCTGTCCGTCGCGGTACCATGCTGTAGGTCGATATTATTGAGGAGTTGGTCTAACCGTTGTCGGTCGGTCAGATCTTCATGTCGCAGAATCTATCGTTTCAGCGTTTCGTAAGGTTCCGAAACATCACTAGTAAACTTACTAGGTGTTACGTACCTGTTGAATTCGCGCGGTAACGCCTTAACTACCGCGAGGAATCATGAGCGTGAGTCTGTAATGCCGTAGTCGTTAAGGTCGGCTTCTGCGCAGCAGAACCAGGACTCGATATTATCAGGCCAGAAGGTAGTTAACTGAATTGATGACGGAGGAGTAGTCCTTAAATTAAATACTTTAGGTGACTGTTCCGTCATAGTAATATAAAGAACGAAAAATGTCTAATAAAATATATCCGGGAAAAACTCGAGAAGGAAAAAAAGTATATCACAATATATAAAAATCAAATAAAGAATAACAATAAATAATAATATTCCAAAAAGGAAGAGACTCACAGTTTATTGGCTTGGTGTACCAGATCACGTCGGTCTCACCACTGAAGATACGACTGGTATTCTAGTTTGACAACTAGAGATCAGTAGCACCTTCTATATTCGAAACTTCTTCCGCCCAATAGAAATCAGAAGTCAGACGAGAAGAGGTAGGAAAGACATGTTTGATACGTTACCAATATATTGAGAAGCGTTTGTTCTTAGCTAGCAAGTGAACGTAGGAACTGTGTCCCACGCCGAGTCGAAACGTGATCTGGTACGGACGCACGACCGAAAGCCTTCAGTTAAACAAGTCCACTTAAACAACGTGGTCAGCATCCAATGTCGAACACTTAGAAAGCTATTGATTTTGGGGAATTATTTACAGCTACATCTTCATTTCTGTTCCAACAAATAAGAAAGACAGTGTATGTGAACCTGCCGTCGCATTGATTTCGCGAATTTACTGCAGGAAAATACGACTCAAATACGAGAAAACCTGATATTCATGCAACCCCAAAGACAACCAACAGTCCCCTAGCCAACTCAAATACGGAATGACCGCTTCTTGTCAAGCCGTTCAAGGTCGTTCAAACAAAACGGCAGGCAACTTTGAAAAGGTTCTAACTTTTTTACCGTGCCACCGTAGAATACACCGGTGAGATGGTTTTATTAGTCCTTAATAAAGTACCGACTTTTCCATAATTCAGTTAAGTTTAGAGATCTGTTAAATCCTTTGGTTGTCCAAATATATACCCAGGTTACTACTGGCAAGTGCACTTGCGAGTAGTCGAAAATTTCAAAATCTTAATAAACACTTTTCGAAACAATAAAATTTCAGAGCTATAATTGAAATAGTCCCGTTGATAAGCGTAGCAGTAAAATATTCTGGACTCGCGGGTTTCGTAGTAAGTCAATCCAATAAATGTATTGCAGCAAGTTATGTCAAGTAATTCGAGTAAATGAAAAGACTGAGACTTGAACAAACACGTGAAATAAGCCATTCATCATCTATGGCGACTATTGTGCTGCTTATGGCCGTTTACAAGTACATAACATGAATTTCACAGTGGACACATTATTTTCCAGTTTCAGTTTGGAATGGACAGGTGGTCTGTGTTTTCCCTGGCAGTGGTGGTTTCCCAGTTGATCCAACTTTCTGTTGAGATCGTCGACAGATGGAACTTCATTCACGTGTTGAGGTATTGAATTCCATTCCTTGATGATTCGATGGGAAAGTCGATAGTCAGCTGACAAGTAGCTTGTTCTGGGCTTGTGAACATTTTAAGTGTCCTCGTAAATTCTCTGTTTCGGTAGACAAGAAAAGCAAGGGCACATCAGATGCGAATTTACCACCAAGTTATTTAAAAACTAATCAGGTCGTGTCTAATTCTTCTATATGAAAATGAGAATTGGTTTAGTTTAGCTAATCTGTTATCACACAGAAGCTTTGCTATTTCAATGGTCATCTTAGTTGCGGTCCTTTAAACCTTTTCCAACAGCTCACTGTCTCTTTTAAGACAGGGACTAGCTGCTTACATGCAGTACTGGAGTTTAGGACGAACGAGCACCGCATACAAAGTCGGAAATGTTTTAGCATCGATATGGCTAAAGACTAACACATAAACCATAGGGTTCGAAAACCTTTGGTGGCTGTTACATGGGAGCATGCAGTGTCTTTTAGGTCTTGGCTAACTATGACTCCCAAGTCATTGTGTGTCTGGACAACTAGTAGCTCACTGTTTTTCACCGTGTATTTATCTATACCTTGGCGACCAATGTGCATTTTAATGCACCGATGATGGTAGGACACTAAGAAGGTCATTTACACACAGGAGAAACAATACAGGCCCCAAAACTGCACCCGAGGCAATCCGCTAAACACAGTTTCCAAGCTAGACTACTTGGAGTTCGCCCGTACTCTTTGTTAACGCTCAACCAGAAAGTCTTTTATCCATATGTTACCTCCAATCCCGATATCACTAAACTTAGATAACAGCCGGCTGAGAGGAACTTTGTCAAAAGCTTCACCAAAGCCAATATAGGCTACATCTATAGATAGGTTCTGGTCTTTAAGAGCGCACCAATTTTCACAGGCTACTAATATCTTAGTAAGACAGAAATAACCTGTTCTAAAACCGTGCTGCTTTTCAGGAAAAAATCTGGTTTTAATCTAGATACTCAACTTCTGAATAATCTTTTCTAAAACTTTGCCAACCACGCCGGCTAGGCTTACGGGTCAATAGTTCTCAGGTTTACATTATGTATCTGTTTTGTAGCTCTTGAATGTTGTGGTATGGGGAGCGTGGCGAGTCAGTTCTTTCTATCGAAGTGCTCCCACGTAGCCACGCGTATACAGCCCATGACAGGGAAGTTTTACTCACTGCCTTGTGTTTACGAAATTTGGAGGACGAAAGACAAATGTCCGGCTCTTTAACCGGGTTGGTGGATATGAAGGATCCACATAGGGAGGTTGGGATACTCTGATTTCTAGCACATGGGCTCCAGAATCCTGAAGGAATAAATGGCGTATGAACCTATTGTTATTCACTTCCTTCCACGAGACTGCATCTTCTAACGTTGTTCTTCTGCCTTGTGGATTCGACCTTTAGGTCAAAGGCTCTGGCATTCTTATGGTCTTGTTTTGTAATCTACTTAGTGTTACAGATAGATTGGAATATATGCAAGGGATTAGCGATAAAATTTACAATCTTTTAGTAACCTAGATGCATTTCTAACTTTTGTTACTTTTTCTTTATTACAGCCGTGGGAGGCGTTAACTATTTATTAACATAAATATCCAGTCACATGTCGAAACGCTCTGGCTTAGGTGTGGTATGTCATATCTGTCCAACTACTTAACTAGAAGTAAGATCACCAGCGAAGAGTTATCAAAACCTTTGAAGTTGTCAAAACCATCTTTGGACAGTGATGAAGAAGACTATAACGATAAAGATTGTTTCCGATTACATGAAGCGGATATAGATGGTACCTGAGTATTTACTGTATATTATTCTACAAGGTCAGGAAGCTACGACTTTAGAGTATGATGATGAAGTTAAAATAACTCCATTTAACATGAAAGAAGAGCTTGAGGAAGACGGACACTTCGACTCCGCTGGCACTTTCATTTTCAAGAAAGTTGGTAGAAAAATTATGATTAACGGTTCCTATTATTATAGCAAGTTGATGCTCGTGATAACTGGTTAGAAGATATTAATTGGCTGGAAGTCAAGAAAAATCAAGAAAAGAATTCGTTGAAAGACACATCGATAAGCGATGAACTTGGTGGAAAAGTGCTAAGTAAAGAGGAGAAACTTACTTTGTACCAAGAACTCCTATCTTATTTGCAACCTTCTGAGACCGTTCTGCGCAGTATTAGACGTATGGGTGCTTGTTCAGATTCTAAAAAGTCCGCTTCAGCCAGTCAGCGCTGGCTAAAAAATAAAAATCCGAAAATTGAAGCTCAGACGTAAGTGTCACATATAATGTACTTGTGATTATGGTATACGTATTCCAGTATATCATGTTGTGTTAGAGATTATGTCTAAACAACTTTTTACGATTGTGATAGGAAGTAAAGTATAGCTTTCCGTTTTTTTCCTAATTTTAAAATTAATGTTTATTCATCAGTGGTGAAAGGGAATAATGATATAAACGTCATGAAGAAATATTTCACTCTTTATACAATTAGAGAAACTCATCGAAACATTTTGAATTGAAAATGCCATTTACTGAAACGGTAAAGTCGTATATGTAGTTATTTAGCACACACAAGTCTGTACTAAAATAGATGTCCCATCATTTAAAAAGTGGTCGTAAGCGTTTCCAAGTCCAATGAGTAATGTGAAATAGTTAAGTGGAAATAGTTTATATATAGAAAAATGTCTGCTTACAGAATATTGGGAAAATGCAGATAAATAGAAAACAGGGGTCATAGCTTCTAAAGTTAGAAAAAGCCTAATATAGTTTTTCTATGACCAGTGTAGTGTGAGGACTTGGAGATCTCGTCTTTAGACAGATCAGGCTTAAAATAGTAAATTTCCAACAATCGTATCCTTTAAAATTCAATAAATGTATCATTCTAGTAGAACATTGTGGCGAAACAGATTCATACACTGTTTTATCTCACATTTCTGATGTAAACAGTAAAAAGAACTAACCCCACGTCCAAACCAAATTAGTTGGATTGATAAATCATTAAGTCGTAGATTCACGTTATGGCAACGGAATATTATCTAAGTCCAATTCATATGTGTACTAGTGTATATTTATTGTATTACTCATACTAGGTTCTTGTAACTTCTAGGTAGTAAGAGTCATTCTTGTATATTCAGAACGAATTGTTCTTAAAAAAAACATTTTCAACCTTGAAAGTTATATTTACTACATTCGGATATTTTTTCCAAAAAAATCTTCCAGCGGCGATCCAGAAGGATTGATTCGTGTTACTGAATTAGCTGATCAGCTTGTTCAAGGCGGAGATTTCGATGTTTATCAAAAAACATTCGATGATATCAAAAAATTGATAGAATGTACAAAACAATTTGCAGTAGATGATGAACTTGAAGTCCTCGGTCAGGCATTTGATGAAAAGCAAGCTGACAATAAAGGTTTGTTGTTTTTTACCTGGAAAATAAGCTTCCATCTATACTTTGTAGTAAAATTTGTAAACATGATCGTAGCGGTAATGTTGAAGACTACAGCTTTCAGCTTTTTGGTCTCAAATTTTATTAAGGCAGTGTTGTTTTGTAATTTTCTAAGACATTTTGCTACATCTACAACTCTGAATATGTGAATAATTGAAATGAAATAAAATAGGATTTTTTGTAATCTCACTTTCGTGAACAACACTCCCGCCACGAGAAAGCAGTGAGTAGGACTTCCCTGGCAGGGGCTATATACGCGTGGCCATGTGAGAGCATTTCGATAGGGAGAGCGGACTCTCCCCACTCTTGGCCGTACCAGGGCATTTGGGGGCCTTTGTAGTCCACTAAGATATGGTTGGCAATTTTCAATTCGTATCACGGTGACATTAAAATTAGTAACTTTCAAAATATTCATCATCTAGGAGATAACTATAGATTTCATGTTTCATCTAGAAAATAAACATTTATCAAGACAATCTATTCATTTTACTTCTTTCAAGGATATTTGCGCGTAAATGTTACAAAACATCAGTCACTAGAAAGCCGCTAATTATAGGTAGACCAAGACCTTTCATATTTTCTTATCCTATTTCTCTCGTTATGTATCCGGAATCACTTCATGGTTAAAATACTTTTGATTGATTAGATTAAATGTTAAATGTTGTTAACCCATCATCTTATGATGTACTTGTTTATAGTGAAAAAACAAAATTGTAAGACTGAACACAAATATGCTTTCGTCCCAGTTATTAGACGATATCAATGCTGTAAGGTTAAATTAATAAGAGGTGAAGTAAAGTGAAAAGGAAACAATTTAAAAAGACGAATAAGTCACGAAATGGTACTGTGTTCACTCTAAACTTCATTGTGTGAGTAGAGAGTGTCCGGAGATTTGTGATAAATATTCCAACCACAATAAAGATTGGCGCTACATCAACTACTGGTTCGCCATCAGGTTCTTTATATTTAAAATTAAGACTTCATCCAGTGGTTCCACCATATCCACTGGTTCACTTTGCAAATGTTTGTAACTTATTGATGCCTTTTACTTTCAGCGAGAAAATCATTAGTCGAAGTAGTACCTTTTAGCTGCTGAGACAGTGAGGTTGCTCATAGTCACAGTTAATCATCCATGTGTTAGGGGTATATAGATTGAAACAAAGCATGCTTTGTTCAGGATTGTGTTTGGGTACGCTGATTGGCTATTTCTTGACTAACCAGCCCTTTGGGGTACTTAGAGAAGAGTGTAGAATCTTATGTAAAAATTTCAAATATACTAACTTTTTTCTTATTTTGATTCCTACTTCCACCCACCCTTGTTATTTGGAGTGTACTTGCATTCATGTTCAACCGTGTTCTGTTTTGAGAACTTGTCGAGTGAAGGAGTGTCCAAGAATACTAAGCAATAAGAGAAACCATAACAATAGACTACATTATATATATAATTCAGCTATCGGTCTGTCACAATTATGAATAGCATACAGTAGGATGTTACACAAATTTGTGAGCTTCATCGGCAAGTACATTAGTTCCATTGGTTAATAGCAGTATACAGAGTATTAAAACTAAATATAATTCTTCTCATACATCTTGCACGACTTGTTAAGGCACACATCTGTTTTGTCGACCTGTATATGTGGCTAACAACTTGTATTAGCCTATAAGATTTGTAAAAATGATCAAGTTTCATATTTGATAGGAAGTAAGAATTTCTGATAAATCTGTGTCTACTTAATTGGTACTGATTTGTGGTGATAATCATCTTCAAAATCGTATTTATGACTGTGTCCCTGAGGTCAACTAGTTATTAGAAATTCTAATGACAAGTCATAACATCTAAGGTCAGTTAAGTATTGTATGACACCTGTAGTAAGCATAGAACATACTGTGTTGATTATTGGATAAGATTAATATTTAACTTTCATAAAACTTGTCGTATTAGTCTAAAGACAAATATCCTGTACACAAGGCTCAGAAATAGATTATCAAGATCAAATGCACCATGCAAAGAATGATCAGCCCTAATGGGTTGGTGTCTGACAAAATCTCAGTACGGATTCAAAAGGCTCGTTTGGCTTTTGCCAACTTACGTCACCTATGGCAAAGACGAGATATCCGTCTATCAATTAAGGGACAAGTATACTGCGCAGCAGTTCGCTCTGTTCTACTTTACGACTGCGAAACGTGGCCATTAAGAGTAGAAGATACTCGTAGGTTACTAGTATTCGATCACAGATGTCTTAAAAATATTGCCCGCATCTGATGGGATCACCGGGTAAGTAATGGTGTGCTTAGACACAGGGTATTAGAGAATAACGCTAAATCAGTTGATAAGGTTGTGAATCTACATTGACTGAGATGGTTGGGCCACGTGTGACGTATGCCTGAACACCGATTACCACGACGCGCTATGCTGACTAGTGTAGGGGATGGTTGGAAGAATGTTAGGGGTGGTCAAACCAAAACGTGGCATCAGTGCTTGAAGTCACTAACTTCTAGTCTGAGCCATGTTGGCAGATGCAGACTACTTGGTTGGGGTCCGCGTGACTATCGTAACCAATGGTTGGAGACTGTGTGACATGGCTCAGAATCGATCACATTGGCGTAGGTGTATACACTCTTTATCTTCCCTTAAACCTTGAGATTAAAATTGCTTCATAACTTTTTTCCCTTCCTATACTATATCCTTATATACAACCTATCCTTTATATACTACCATCACTAAATTAACTACTTCTATAAATCCGGTGTTGATCTTGTTGTGCTAACGAGGTATGGCAACTTGGACCGATGCATATATGCGCCTGGTCCTATGTTGTAGCTGACTGACTGACTATATAGTTAATTATTCAAAATAGTTAACCCTACTCATATTCAAATTTCCAAAATGATTTTTAGATGAAATCAAATCAACTGAAGAACATGATGGTACTGACCATGATGACAATAATAATAATAATCATACCTCAGTCATGTGGCATTTAAAACGCTCAAATAAACCAAATACAGAGATTGAAGGACCATATACATCTGAACAATTGAAGGCGTGGCTTCAAGATGGAACGTTCAATGACAATGACAATATTTTAATACGTGAAGCAACGAAATCTGATGGACAATTCTATAATATCACACGTATTGACTTTGATTTGTATGAATAAAAAAGTAAATATTCACTTTTTTCAATATTATACTCCCTTCTTTTATGGATTCTATTGTATATAGAAACATTTGTGAATATATCTGTTCGTTTTTTCCCCTGCTAATTTCTTACTTTATATTTCACTTGATTTTATTAGCATATTGGAAAAAAACATCTTAGTCATGCCTGTTTAATAATTGATCATTATTATTATTTAAACACATAAATATTGGTACAAGAAAGCATCAGATACATATGCGCCATACAAATCAAATTAGATTTGTGTGAGGGCTGTGATACTGCTCAGGTGCCCAGTCTGAAGCAGGTGGTTTTCTTAGGGGGCCACACCCGGAGCCTTTGATCTAAAGGTCTAACCCACAAGGCAGTGGAGTATCGTAAGGAGATACAATCCCATGGTAGCCGGTGATCAACAACTGGTTCATATGCCATTTGTTCCCTCAGGATACTGGAGCCCATGTGCACCGTTGGTTTGGAATCAGGGTTTTTCAACTCCCCTAGGTGGAATTTCCGTGTCCATCAACCAGGTTAAAGTGCCGGACATTCGGTTTTCGTCCTCTCAATTTCGTAAAGGACACCCCCGCCACAAGAAGGCAGTGATTGATGTTGCAGCATTTATAGAAACTCAACTATGTTTCTGATCCGAAACCCCGAGAATTAAATAATTGACACTTTTCACGTAGTATTTCATGGAAATGGTAAAAATTTGATTGTAGTTTACATTACTAACTAATATTGATTAGAGAACTTCAAATTAATCAATTGCTGTTTCGTCTCACAAATCTCCAATACTTGTTTACTCCTGTCGTCAACCAGGATTGTCCAGTCAATCTTTACGAAAGTCAGTCTATTGATATCAAAGTTGAGCGTCTACGGAATCCTTCACTCGGTTCAACAACTTTGTGTTAAAAATGTTTCCTGGTACTGACAACCATGTGATGCCTCCGTAGTTCTCACACTTTCTGAGATCCCCTCTGTTTGGTATCTTGATAAGGTATCTTTCTTCTCAGTCTGTTGGTATTTGTTGTTCCTCCAAAATCTTTTGAAGAGAACGTATAACATCTTTGCAGTTGCCTCTTTCACTTAAATAAGTAAAAACCATGTGCTGTCTAGTGACCAACTTTAAGATTTAGCAAGCAATTGTGTTTGGTGGAATTCGATCATAATGGAAGTGAAACAATCGTCACTAATGTTATCGTATAGTGTTGGCAATAAATAAGGAATTGACTGGAGTTGGAATTGTGAAATATTGGGTGCTATTTCAGTAGTCTAAGGATAATATGGTCTATATTAGAACTGATGGTTATGAGTTCGATCTTTTCAGAGTACTACGGAGTTTTAAAACAAAATATTTGTACACTGCTTAACTGTTCTAAAATAGTCATCGGTACCCCATGGAAATTCCCTTAACAAAAAACAAAGTACAGTCATTATTAATAAACAACGGTTTCCATCTAATCATATCTTTGGAACTTCATTAGCGTAAAAATCTACAGAAATGCCACAGAGGATTAGTTTTTATAAAGCTAGTTCGTTTTCAGAGCTCTTGGTGTTGTACGTTTAAGTTAGCTTTACTTCTTATCTCAACCTCTGTTTTTCTTAAACAGATAATTTTAATAGAAAAAAAAAGAATCTAGCAAAGGAAGTTCACTTTTTGACGAAATCATTTACTAAAGCTTTACATTCGTATTTATAGTTGTATAGTAAATATATGTCTATAGAGAGATAGAAAAGATTGCATCATGAAGTGATACGATACTCTAAATATCAGATGAGGTTGCGTAATAATCAGGAGGGGGGTAGAGAAGAATAATTTACGGGTTCAGTCAGTCACAACGTAGAACTTCGTACGTACGTACATCAGTTCGAGTTGCCATACCACATTAGCACAGAGATGCAGTTGTCGATTCAGATCCCATAGTGTTAGAAGTAGTAAGAGTATAAGCATTATGTGAAAGGTTAGGGTTTGAAGATTTTATTCAAGGAGTATAATCCGGTAAAATAAATTTGAAAAGATAAAAGGATAGGGACATGAAGAATTTGAGAGAACTCAAAAAGTGGATACACCGCCATTGCAAACGATTTTGAGCCATGTCATTCAAGGTCTCTAACCATCGACTGCTATCATCTCGCTAATCCCAACCAGGTAGTCTACACCTATCGGCATGGCACAGTCCAATTGTCAGTGACTTCATGGATTTGTGCCATGTTTTACGGGGTTAGAATTATGAAGGGTAATTGTCTGTTTGACAGATAGGAAAAAAGGAAGAACATAAAGGTCACATTAATAACTGAATAATAGTCCTGAGTTTTAAAAAGATAATAACTACAGTTTGGGATTACAAAACTATGATCAAAAAAAGCAAGACCAGAAGATACTACAAGAGGGAATCAGGGTCAAGGAAGGATTGGAGGTTGGACGTGTTATTTTTGCGCTCAGAGTTCGAGCTTTCATTGGTTGGTCGCCAACGCCTCAACAGTGCTTAAGTTTTTTTTAATCGAACTCCCTTGGGTTCAGTTCCTTTGATTATTTTGAAGGAAGACTCCTTTGGAGCAACATATCCACAGATAATTAAGTGCTGGTTGCTTCGAATACAGAATAGACTGTCCAGTAAGGTTATTTTGCTGTATAACAGTATAAATCGAAGTCCAGGTAGGTTTTTATCTCACTAAAATGTTGATTCCCGTTTCATCCTTATTAAGAATCTTAATTCAAAAGGAATTGCAGTCTTATTCGTTTCATGGTTTATTAAAAAAAATCGTTCATTATACCTACTTACTGATTTTAACTCACTTCACCCAACTTTACTCATGGTATGAAGAATTTGTGAATATTGTTCAATTCGCAGCTTAGGCGGACTGTTTGTTATGAAAAATGTGAACTGCTCGATCCCTTTCTCAGTGACGTAAAGATTGAGGGCTGGCTGAGATATCTAGTTGGTTTAAGTCTGATCCCTGACAAAGCCATAGATCTGTACCGATGAGGAGTCTCCTACTAGGACAAAAGATGAATTCGGTAGTTCCTAATCCTAATCGTTATCTTGCTAAAGCGAGTTGATAGTGTAAAAAACAAATTAAACGTAAACCTTTTTTCAGAATAGGATCAAACGCATTGATTTTCAATGTGAAATTCGCTTGGAAAATCCCTATCATTTTTGTAGTTTGCAAGTTTCTGCCACTAACTAACATTTATATTTTATAAGTTACTTGAATTAGTTTTTGTTCAAGATGATCTGGAGCGCTGTTAAAGGTATGAGGGTCGTTGTGACTTCTTAGTTGTCTATGCTATGGAAGGATATTTTTTCAAGAACTGGAAATAAAATTGATTTTGTAGCGGTCTTAGTGACTTGTGAACGTGACTGCATAAGCCAAAGAACAACTCCTCATGAATTGCGTTTTATAGTAAGCTTTTGTTGTTTTAGCCTTTTCACTTGTAAGCGTTTACAACCGGAGACAGAAATACGTGCTGTACGGTAAGATATAATGTTTTTAGGATCAACGTCTTCTCACTCTTTCCTTACCTTGTGAAATGGTAGCATCGCCACAGAAGCTAGTTGTCTAAGGGAAACACCTTATCGTCCTCATAGCTCTTTACATTAAGCAGTACGTCTTCTCCCCCAAGCTTTAAGTATTCTGCTTTTAACCATTACCGTTCCCCAACCAACCTGCCTGGCAAGATGGGACGTAAAGGAATAAGTTTCCCAGCCAATATAGCTCGGCTGAATCATTAAAATAGTCAAACCCGAACAACACGTTAAGGTAGTAGAAAGGGTCGAATGAACCAAACTTATTTGAACGAAAAAAAGTATTTCGATAATTAATCCACTGCTGAAGAGTCTCACAACAGGACGAAACAGCCGTCCAGTGCTTCCAGATTTTCCATAGTGGTCTAGCTTCAATTGACTCATGATCTCAACTATTAAAATTAGTTCCGTACTCTTAGGTAGTGTACATTAATAATTCTATCTGGTATCCATTAATACTCTATGTGGTACCAGTTTGTCAAAAAGACGGCATTTCTCTGAACACCAGTTACATCTAAGGGGCAAGACTTATTTTTTCAGGAGGGAAAGGTTATATGGAGAGCCAATCAGAAGTAGCCGAATGAGATGATCGATCGACGGCAATCGGAAGTGACCTGAGGGACAAGTGTATTTCACAGGCTAAGAAATAAATCAACTTCCCTAAGGATTACAGTGTTATGTATATGAATAAGTATTTGTACATTTTATTCGGTAGTTCAATACACTTTCTCGCTCAAGTAGTTCTGAGGAGGGGGGAAAACGCATAGCAAATCATTTATCAATGTCAGATTTTGGACACCTTTCGTCACAACACCATTTTATGACAAAATTTTTGAAAAACGAATCACTCCTTACAAAAAAAACCCTCAAATGATGCAGAACAGAACGAATCTACACAATTATATATCTTTAAATATATTATTATTCAATAAGTTAAAACAAGGCAATTTATTGTACATTAAAAGAAAAGACAATCTCCTGAGTATAATTATTACATCTATAGTGAATAATTAGAAAAATAATATTAGTAAGTAAATAAGTAGTACATACATTATTATGTAAATTTTCTTTTTAGAGAAAAAAATAAGAATAATTGAGCATTCTAAAGAAGAAAAATTATTGAACACACATTGATAAGTTTAGAAATAAGTCGTTCTTTTTTTTAAATTAATCACTTTAATAATAATAATATTAATCATTACTATTAGTTGCCAAGATACATGGGATCCTCCCAAAGGACAAATAGAGTAATGATGTATCCAGTATTAAAAAAAAAACAGGGTTTAAAAATACACCAACAACAACAACAAAAAAATGATTATTGTTATTAGGAAAAAACACAAGAAGAATACATCTAAAGATCACAGTTTATATTAGGTATGGAAGCAAATTTTGCATGAATATAAACACCAGTTGCTTTCCAAAGATTATCGTTCATTGGATATTGTGAAGAGGTCAATTTAATATTGGGACACTAGAAGAAGAGAATTTTTTTTTAAATAAAAAAGGAATGAGAAGGAAAGTTCCATGGGGCAGTAAAATAACTTGGAATTAAAAAGGAATAAATATTTTTTTCTTTAATGGTAATAACCTAATGCTACTGCACCTTCGTGACGCAACCGGTTAACGCGTTCGAAAAGTTGGTGATTCAAAATAGC